CTGGTGTATAAGGGATCGCTGAGTATGGGGCCTCAATGGATAATCTCTATTGAGGGTTTTCTCATTCGAAACAGCACAGATTTCCAATCTTTAACAGACTCTCTTTCAAAATCTTCCTTTGCCTTTAATGATAATGCCAGGAGTTAATGGGAACAGCTGGGTATTCTCACATGTACACATTTATTGCCCAAAGACGCACTGTTAAAACTGCTGCAAAATTCATCCAAACCACACTGTACATCTGAAGGTTTATTACCAGGAAAGAGTGAGTCCTTTTCTAGCATTCCATCTACAGGTATTCAAATCAGTCTTCTATGGATTATGATCATCGAGTTTAGTGCTCTGTATGTCACTACCAACTATCACCAAATTAACATTATGAAAGTACCTCAACTCCTGACATCCAGCAATAAATCTGCATTTTACAATAAAACAAAGGCCAAGCTCTGGAGACTCATTGTTGCTCCAGTGTGACAATGTACATCTGGGGAAGTCATACAACATTCATTTTAAACAATTCTGTGTAGTCAAAGATTAGGAGGAGTTAAAGATAAAATAATTCTGGTGCAGCAATAATTTTCCACAATAAAACAAATATATATAACAACAGTAAGTGTAAGGTCCCTCAATTTACATGAGAAAAATGTTTTATAGATTTCATAATGACCAGCTGTAACATCTTACTTTCCTCAATGACCGCGGTGAGATGTGAAACTATTGAAAAGTCCAAAACTTGATAATCGCCAGAATACAGGCACATGGATTGTGATATGTAATCAACCTTGTTGTTCATTGGCTGCAAACATCTAAACGGGGCACCAACGTTGTTATTTGCCAGCAGCAGTTAAAACGAAAGCCTGCACTTCTTAAAGCTAGTCTGCACCTTTTAAAGCAGAGGAGTACAGTGGCTGGAGCAAATGCTGGCAGTCATGCAGAATGTGAATCTGCCCTGTCACAACAAAGCGAGGGTAGGCTCTAACATTTCCAACACTGACCTAGAAACCTTGGTCAAGAAAGTGGAAAATTGGAGAGATGCCCTGTATCCACAGAGGGCCTCTGCATTTATGACACATATGCTAACAGTAGTTTGTCACTCAGCAGATAGCCTCTGGTTTCCTACAATGACTCAAATATAGCTGGCACACTGGACTATCACAGAATGAAGACAGCAGGGGAAGCCCTACAAGGGTCTGAGCAATATGGGCTATGATGAGATTTGAACATAATGTACAGCAAGGCCTGTCTCGGTATTAAGTGTAATTCACTCCAGATTTTATACTTTGATGAACGATGTGAGAGACTCTCTCTCGACAACAGTGAGTTGCCAGTTAAGGGGTATTATTGCTTGTTAAATCCCTTATTAACTTGCCTCATTAATATTCAGCTTCCCATCTTATCAAGCATACCAATCAAGTTGGACATCAATAAAACTTGGCACTAAAACCAAAATGAGTACCTTGTGGCTTCAGTTCTCTACTTGCTCCAAAAGGAGATACGTATTGGACACTGGGCACCAAAATCTCAGACCTAGCTCCATGGGCACTGGCCATATGCACCTCATATTCTCAGATTGGCATCTGATACATGCCAGCCTCTAACAACCCTCATGGCGCATCTCCAATCCATCTACGTGATGCTTCTGCACTTCAATAATATACCTCAGGCTGCACTGGCAACTATCAAATTAATGCAGCAAGGACACTGTGCACTCAGGGACATGTATCCATCTCATGGACTAGACCAGGCTACATCTCCAGCCTTTCCACTTGCTGTCATAATTCATTCAATACCAACATTGGACACCCTGGATGTAATAACTTCTAAAAAAGGATCCCACCTCATCATGGGTCAGTCTCTCAACTGGGCAGCTCTGTCTGGTCCTCAAAGCTCTTAAAGATTTCTAAACAATAGACAGGGAGACAAGGGGCCTTGAGCCTAGCTGGATGCTCACAGTACCCTACCTTACATTATCTTGCCTTGCCTTTATCCACTTTGCCCCTTCATGCAGAGATATCAGGCTTATATTACACTGTCTTGTTGTGCTGTTTAGCACAGGCACAAAGGCAGGAGGTTTGTCATGGTTTGCACTCAAGGGAGATAGCCTTCAATCACAACAGGTCAGGGCAAACATTGATACTGGTCCAGGGGCGTGAACACAGTCAGTAAGCCACTCAGAGTGGTCAGAGTCAGGAAACTCATAAGGACACTGGAGCTGAATGTTAGGCAGCTCGCCATCGACCTTGACATTTTCTGCCCTATTGGAGCTGCTTTCTTATACAGAGACAGAGGTAGATATCAGGGAGATGAAAGTGAATGGCAGAGCGGTTCCAATTGGTGCAGGCAGGGAGGTGTCACATGCAAGTGAGTAGGCTGTGCAGATGACATACGGCGTTAGTGGTGTAGAGCCTTGGGGTGGGTGACAGTGAGTGAGGGAAATTGTAGCAGGCAATGGTGAGGGTAATAGAGTATGAGTCTTGGTAGGAGGTGGGTGCAGTAGCAGAAATAGAGTGGGTGTGAGGTACTGGCAAGATGGTGGTCGCACTTACACAGGTGGAATGGTGAAAATCATTGACTTTCTTCCTGCAGTACTGGGCATTCTTCCAGATGGGTAAAACTGTACTGACCTGGATGGCACTGACCTGGGACTAGTCTGGTATGGTCTGGCCTAGCATGTCCCTTGAAAGGGACACATCCCGGCCCACACCAATAGTTTTGGCAGTGCTGCTCCTGGAGCAGATAAAGAGCCCTATCTCCACTACCCTATCCAGGAGAACCTCCAGGTTCCTGTCTATAAAGTTTGAAAACAGTATCAGTCCATCTGCCATGTCTGGCACACATGCAAGATAGGATGCAGGGCCGTTCTGAACTAACAGTATTTGCTCGAGTGCACAATTGCCTTCTAAAGGTGGCACAAGCACAAGGGATGGCAGATATCTGATGAGTGGCATGTCATTCTGGGAACATCTTGTGGTAATAACTGGCTGTGAGTGACACTATGGTGGGGAGGGTAGATAGTTAGTGAGCGATGTTACCTCTAAACTGTGCACAGATGTAGACAAGGGTCTACACACGGCAATCAAGTTTCTCATTAAATCTCAACAAACTCATTGCATTAGTTTCCATTCCTGCCTCTGATTGCATCTTATTTCTAACCCCATGTCACCAGTTGCTCTCACTTATCCCGACCTCAGATAGCTTTAACTGTGCATGTCCTCTGCCCTGCCTACTCACTGGCTCAGGACAAGTCCACACTTGCATCAGTAGTAAGTGGTTTGTCACCCATTTTCATCTTTCATAATTCCCAAGTGAAGTCTTTCCCTCTAAATTGTCCATGATAAGCATCCTGCCTTTGTGACTGCACTAAACAGGTGGCAAGACAACAGCGATATGAACTGGAATCCCTGGCTAAGAGGTCAAAGTGCTACAAGGCAAGGCAAGGAGTTGGAAGGCAGCATGCTGTGACTATTCAGGTAGGCTCAGAGTGAGTGAGCAATATGAGAGCAAAAAAAGAGAGCTGAGTGTGTGTCCCTGAGTGCACAGTGTCCTTATTGCAGCATTACAATCACAGTTGCCGGTCGCAGACTGAAATGCAGCATTGAAGTGCAGAAAGGTCCTGTAAGTGGATCGGAGATGTACCATGAGGGTCACAGAGGCTGGTATATGTCTGTTGCCAATGATAATGAATGTAGGACATATGGCTGGTGCCAAAGGAGCATGCCCAAGATGCTTGCGCCCAGTTTCCTACATGGATGACTTTTGGAGCAAGATGATGAAGCCAGGGGCCTACAAATTTCAGGCTTGTATCATCCTTCCCATGGTCATTCTTTACCAAGTACTCACTCACGTGCCAATAACCCAGACATACAATAAAGCACAGTATCATTAGAGAGAATTTACCTCTGATTTTAATTCATGGGCTTCTGTTTAACTGCGAGGACAGGTTTGGTAATATAGTAAGTTGATTAAAACAAAAAAAACTGCAGATGATGGAAGTCTGAAACAAAAACATAAATTGCTGGAAAAACTCAGCAGGTCTGGCAGCCTATGTAGAAAAGAAACAGAGTTAACGTTTTGGGTCCAGTGACCCTTCTTTAGATTGCATTGATTGTCAGTGAAGTTGTTGTCTAAGTTCACAATGTGAAGATGAGATGGCAGAAGGTATTGCTGATACCTATGGAAGTGCACTATAGAGCTGAACCACAGCTTAAACACTGCCTTCAAAACAAGAACAAAGGTGATGAATATGTGAGGGGTGTAAGGTTCATGGGGTGGGAGGGGAAGGGGTTAAATGGGATTAAATAAATAAAACAAAGTTTTAAGAATACACAGTAATAGTTTCACTATATTAAGAAAAGATGTTTACAGTACACAAATTTAAGAAAAAGCCAAGAAGGAGACACAAACGGAAAATCGAAATGTGTAGAAAAACAATCATTTTGTCAAACAAACTGTCAATCAATTACTTATCTGGGTAAGTTAATGTACTTCATTTCTACACTTTATATGAGTTCTTCTAAAACAATGCTTATAAAGTGCTCTCCTCACATGAAAAGTCATGAGAAATGATAGCCCTGCACTCCTTTGAACATTAGCAGTAAAATGTTACCAATTTAAGAAGCTGTAACAGAGGAGATCTTAAATGGGATTTCCATCTGACCAGGCAGCAGAGAGCGCTGTATCAATCAATCCATTATTGTGTCTGGGAGGCAGAGCATGGAGCCCTTTGGTTCTGACCCACCTGCCCTACAGCAATTCATTTTACTGAACCCAACTCAGGAATTCATAACACTCAAGTATTCCCTCCCCCACGACCAGCACTTCAGCACCCCACCCCAAGAACGGCAGGCAATCCTGAGAGCAGTAACGTCATCAAGTGCTTTCCTGACACTTGTCAGACTGTATCATTTACAGTACTACCAGGGAGCAGTTGGCGGGGTGTGGGGAGTGGTGGGATTCTTTCAGTAAGTAGTGTCACCACCAGTAGCACTGAGTGCGTGAGAGAAAGTGTGTATGTGTGTGTGTGAGAGAGAGAGAAAGAAGCTGAAGAATTTCCAGCTGGAAGCATTTGGACTGTGCTTACCCAGTGGAGTATTTTATAAAGACCTTAAAGAAAGATGCTGCAGAGTGCATGGATAAGTCTGTTAGCTTTTGCAGAACTTGCTGTCAGTGGGAAAACAGAAAGCAACAGGTAAGAAGAATATTGTTGACAGTGAAACCGAAACAAGAAATTAGGAAATTGATTTTTATTTGCTTCAAATTACACAGATTTGCTCATTCAAACCAGACAGTTTATGTCAAACGAAAAGTGACAGATTGATTAAAACTTTTCTATTCAATGAACAGTTGTGACTCTCTGGAGCAGTTTTTTTCCTGTTCTACAAAATCATATGTTATCTAATGTTAATAGATTTCTATTCACCTCCATAAATGTTATTTTTAGATTGACAAAGAAATAACAAAACTAGGATTGTCTGAACTATGTTGCATAAAATTCTGTGTGTATTTGCACTAAATGATTGGAAAAATGCTGAACAAATAAGTTGGTGTTTAGTTTGGGCAGAAAAGGAAATTGCACCCAAAGAACACTTGGGATTTCTCTGGTAGGTCTGGCTTTACAGTTTCGCTAAAATACATTGCATAACCATAAACATTAATTTTCTATAAACCAGCACAGTCAGGTAGTGATAAAGAAGGTGATTATTTCTGTTCTTTTTCATCAAAGGTGTTAATCTTATGCAGACTTAATGATACAGCTGAAAATACATTTAAAATCTATTTAAAAATAGGCTTTCCCTAACAGCAGTGCCCAGCCTCTTCTCCATCTGATTTAAAATCACTGAAAATTATTTTTAAAAACATACTGAACAATTTAATAGTTACACTGCATAACACCAGCCAGTTTTTTTTTTGTAAATTAAACATTATTTGCTATGAAAAGAAAGCTTTTAATATGTGCCTGATTCAATACAATCAGCAAGGGTTCCCCATTTCATCGTGGAGCTATGGCCTGCCTTGTGAGGAGAGACCGATCTAGGAAAATACTGAATACTGAAATAGTGTAAGAGATTGTGGAGTGATAGTCTAGATGCTTTTATGCATTGTTCATTTTGCCTTAAATTTCTCGACCTTTTGTGCTGGGATCTGAATACATTAAGTAATAGAAATGAGGGAAAAACCACCATCCCATAGCAGTTTGTCACTTGCTGTTACACAGATAAGTTTACGTCTACCATGCTGATTTTCTTTATTTAAGATTAAGTTATTTCACACTCCTGATATGAATGAATGTTTTAGATGGCAATGTCCTGTTCCTGTGCATGGATAGTGTATGTAATTGGCTGTGTTGACCTTTATTTCAAGGGTTCAGTGCCAATTCTCAACGTTCTCACAGCTGTATGAACCATAGACTGTAAATAAAGTGATACTCTCCTGAGTTTTAATTAAGAGTAGACTAGTTGTGCTCAATTTCTGAATGGAACAGCAAAGCAAGCACAAGTTTCATATAAGAATCCAAAAGCATTTTCTGCGAGAGTTAAAGGAAGAAAAAATATTGTTACAGACCTGACCAAACCCCCTCAAAATGTTTTAAGAAGATAGCCTAGATCCTTACTTTTTCTTATTCTAAATGTAAGTGTAAGGCATTGCAATCAAGATGGAACTTGATTAGTCAAATATCCCGACTTTAAGAAAAACACATTTTATTTTTACACAACAGTTGAAATAAAGACAAAATAAAAAGAAAGGCAGAACATTGGCTTACCTGTAACTCTATCGAAATGCTTAACAAAATAATGTATATATTAATAATTACTCATCAACTGTTCCAACATAGCAACATCCCACAAACACACCCTTGGCAAAGGCAAATTCAGTAAAATAGATTGTTTCACATGGAATTCGAGCAGCAGGAAGAGAACCCCAGCTTTTAGCTGTAAAAGAGAGAGGAATAAGAGCCTCCACATCCACCTTCAAGACTCCAGCACTGCAGAAAGCTGAAACTAAAAATCCTAGTCCTGTGGGAGTTTGATTGCACCTATTCAGGCTGCTTCTGTTGTTCCAACTTTTAAAAACCCCAAGGCCTCACAAGCTGTTTACTTTATTGGCTTTGAGCAGACTGCTCTATACCTCTGTCAAAACCTTTCTTTCTAAAAATATAAAAATAACCAGGAAAAAATACACCTCCCCCCTGAAAACAGAACCATCAATATACAAAGATGGCTCCATTTTTAAAAACCTTTAGCCTTACTCTGTTAGCAAACTTTAATAAATATACATTACATTGACTCTAAACATGCAAACATTCACTACTACAGTCCACGTTAGTCATTTTTTCCTGCCACTGAATACCTCCATCTTCCTTCATCAAAGTTGCAACAACCCATAGGGAATTATTTTCTCTCATCCTGCCACATGTATAATTTTCAAATTACACGACTGCAATAATAAGTTCCATCGAAACGGTCTGGTATTTTTATCTTTAATTTTTTTCCAAAATCTTTAAGGGGTCATGATCAGTATACACAATTGTCTCAAACACATTTCAGGTGATGTAAATGTTGAAATGGCAACACTAAACTCAAGCTTTACTTCTCAATTTTAGACTGTCTCTGTTGACATTATTCAATTTTCTGGAAAAATACCCAATAGGTCTTTCCATCTTCTCATCGTCTTCTTGCAAAAGTGGAGTACCAACATCCACACACTCGCATCGATAGCCACTTTGAATGGCTTTGCGTAATTAGATGTGCCCAACACTGGGGCAGTGGTTAACACTGCTTTCAGGCTCTCAAATACCTTCTGTCAGTTCACCATCCACTGAAATTTTTTGCTTTTCTTCAACGAGTCAGTCAGTGGAGCAACCAAATTGCTAAAATTCGGTACGAACTTCCGATAAAAACCACTCAGTCCCAGGAATCGTAGTGCATCCCTCGTGGTCAATGTATGGTAATCGCCCCAATAATCTTTGTTTTCACATCCTTTTGGGCCATTTGTTCATGTTCATGTCCTGGCCCAGAAATGTGACTTGCCTTAGCAAACTCACTCTTAATCGGGTTTATCACTAAGCTCGCCTCCTGAAGTCAATTAAAAAATTCTGATAGTTGCTCTAGATGCTCCTTCCACGTATGACTAAACATCACCAGATCATTGATATACACTACATAATTGACTAACCCCAAAACGACTTTATTGGTTAGCCTTGAAATGTGGCTAGCACATTTTTCATACCAAAAGGCATGACTTTAAACTGGTATAGTTCATTTGGTGTCACAAAAGCTGAAATTTCCTTTGGTCTTTCAGATAAGGGTACCTGCTGGTATCCTCTGAGTAAGTCCAATGTTGAAATATTTGTTGCACGTCCCACCTTCCCAATACAGTCTTCCAAAGATGGAATATGATATAAATCAGATTTTGTAACTGCATCGACTTTGCAATAGTCCACACACAACCATTGGGTAACATCTGGTTTTGACACTATTACTATGGGTGAGTTCCAGTCACTGTAACTCACTTCGATTATGTTGTCTTGGAGCATGTGTTCAATTTCTTTTTGAACCTGTGCTAACTGTAGACGGTTAAGTCAATAAGGATGTTGTTTATTGGAACAGCATTTCCTATATCTACATCATGCGTAATTAGATTAGTACATCCCAGCTTATTCCCACATATCTCCCCATGTGATAAGTTTCTCAACCCCATTCCCTCACCTGCTCCCTATAATCTTTGATCCCCTTAATGAACAAGAACCTATCTATCTCTGTCTTAAATATACTCAATGACCTGGCTTCCACAGACTTCTGTGGTAGTGAATTCCATAGATTCACCACTCTGGCTGAAGAAGTTTCTCCTCATCTCCAATCTAAAAGATCTTCCCTTTACTCTAAGGCTGTGTTCTCGGGTCCTAGTCTCTCCTGCTAATGGAAACATCTTCCCGACATCCAATGTATCCACGCCTTTCAGTATTCTGTAAGTTTCAGTTAGATTCTCCCTCATCATCCTTCTAAACTCCATTGAGTAAAGATGCAGAGTCCTCAAGCGTTCCTCATGTGTTAAGCCTTTCAATCCTGGGATCAGTCTTTTGAACCTCCTCTGGACTTGCTTCACGGCTAGCACATCCTTCCTGAGGTTTGGGGCCCAAAATTGCTCATAATATTCTAAATGTGGTCTGACCAGAGCCTTATAAAGCCTCAAAAGTACATCCCTGCTTTTATATTCTAGTCTCTCGAAATAAACTCCAACATTACATTTGCCTTCCTAACTACCAACCAATCTGCAAGTTTACCTTAAGAGAATCCTGGACTAGGACTCCCAAGTCCCTTTGCACTTTAGATTTCTGAATTTTCTCCCCATTTAGAAAATAGTCCATACCTCTATTCTTCCTACCAAAGTACATAAACTCACACTTTCACACATTGTATTCCATCTGCCCCTTCTTTGCCCACTCTCCTAATCTGTTTAAATCCTTCTGCAGTCTCCCAACCTCCTCAATACTACCTGTCCCTCCATTTATCTTTGTATCATCTGCAAACTTAGCCAGAATGCCCTCAATTCCTTCATCTAGATCATTAATGTATAAAGTGAAAAGTTATGGTCCCAACACTGACCCTTTTAGAACACCACTAGTCACCAGCTGCCTTCCTGAGAAAGACCTTTTTATCCCCCACTGTCTGCTTTCTGCCAATCTTAGACAGCCAATCTTCTATCCATACTATTACTTTGCCTGTAACACCATGAGCCCTTATTTTACTCAGCAGCCTCCTGGGTGGTACCTTGTCAAAGGCCTTCTAGAAGTCCAAGTAGATAACATCTGTTGGATCTCCATGGTCTAACCTACTTGTTACCTCCTCAAAGAATTCTAACAGATTTGACAGGAATGACCTTCCCTTGATGAAACCATGCTGACTTTTCCCCACTTTACCATGCAATCCCAAGGATTCAGAAATTTCATCCTTCACAATGGACTCCAAAATCTTACCAATGTCCAAGGTCAGGCTAATCGACCAGTAATTTCCCATTTTTTGCCTCACTCCCTTCTTAAACGGGGTGTTACATTAGAGATTTTCCAGCCTTCTGGGACCCTGTCTGACTCCAGTGATTCCTGAAAGATCACTACTAACGCCTCCAGTATCTATTCAGCTTTCTCCTTCAGGACTCTGGGGTATAGCCCATTTGGTCCAGGTGGTTTATCCA